TATATAAATACATACTTTAACTTTCTTAATTTTTTTTGGTAAAAAATATATATATATATTCTTAAATTTCCTAACAAAAAAAAAATCGTGTGTCCCACTAGTTGACACTCCTGTATCGGAAAGATAAAGATCAAATAATATATTAAACTTTCGAGATAAGATAAAAGGCAAATAATATATTAAAGATGAGATAAAAACTAGTTTACAAATTTCAAAATTCAAAATAATATTACAATTCTAGTATCCTATTCCTAAATGGAAAACCAATTAGCAATGCTATAAATTGAGAACTTCTCATTTCCGCAGTGTCATCATTCTTTCTTTTCTAAAACTAAAACTCTATTTCGTTAATTGTCATAATTTCCAAGCTCTTCATTAGTGACGGCAATGAATCGCATTGAGGCGATCGATTCTCTATTATTGTCATGTTCGGATTGGGGGAAACATAAACACAGAAGGTTTATCAACAACATGGATCTTGATTTTCCAGTCACCGAGTTGGTCCAGGAACCAGCATTGGTGATGGTGGCGGAAGAAGGTCCGACAATGGCAACGGGAGACATATTGCCCTGGAAAATGAGGAATAGAAGCAAAAGTGTGAAGGCGACAATGCAGGAGGAGGAGAAGAAGAGTAGTGTAAAATCGAAGAGGGTGCAAGCGAAAATGGCGAAAAAGGAATCGGAGTCGCGGAAGCTAGAACTGAGGTTGTCCAAGTCTGAGATCGAGGAGGATTTCCTGAAAATGTTGGGCAAGAAACCCCCCTCTAGGCCCAAAGTCGTCCAGAAACATCTAGATGTAACCTTTCTTCAACCATTCCTTTCCTTTAATCCAAACTTCTAATTTAGTTTATAATATCTATTTTCATCCCAAACCATTTTTCAATCTCAACAAAAAAAGTCAAGTACTTTATTGAATCTTAAAATTAGTATTTTTTTTACGATATGGTTATAACTTTATTTTATTTTGCAGTTTTTATCTCCTGGATTTTGTTTGCCGAACATCCCACTAACTCGTATATACGATGTTCCTAAATCAAAGGCGACAAAAAAAGGTAGAATTGTTTGAGAAATCATTTTGAAAACAATTTTTTATTTTCAAATATGTAATTGAATGTGGCATTATTTTTCTGTAATTGAGTGCAAATTGAAGTTAAAAATAAATAAATAAATAAAAATTTTGCTCATTTTCGATGTACCGCATTTTTATTGGCTGTAAAATTTTATTTGATTCACTGTTCAGCGCCACAATTCCAATTTCCAACTTCGTTTCATTTGCCCGTTTCGTTCTTACAAATCATCTATCATTCAATCAAAAGAACAAGGGTTAAAAATGACTTTACCTTAATTTGAAATCTTTTTTTTTTTGGGAAATTTTGGGAAAATCTGCACTATCAAATTTATATTAATTTAGTATTTGAATTTTAATACCTAACAAGTAGATAAATTTATGGAGATTTAATTTTTATTTTGCAAAAATGTTGTGTTGTAACTTAAAAAAATGCGAAGATTTAATAGAGGTTTATCATTGTATCTTGCTTGATGCTAAAGCGAGTATAGTTAAACAATAATTGACATATATTTCTAAGGTTGTGAGTTCGAATTCCTACTCGATATGTTGTACTAAAAAAAATAATTGGTATCTTGCTTGATAATAGTTTTAATACAGGTACATATTCAATACTAAAAATATAATTAATGCATAAAAATAATGCCAGAAACAAAAAATTCGCTATACTCATTTTTTTTAGTACAACATGTGGGAGTACGGATTCGAATCTACAACCTCTTAGTTTGAGATATATACCAATTAAGTTATGTTCGCTTTGGCCAAAAATCATTATTTAAAGAAAGATAGATAGTGAGAAAAAATAGTTTAAAGTTTATCAAATAAATTATAATAATCTTTCCTTTTCATATATATATAAAAAAAAAGGAATAATCTTTAAAATGTATGGACGAATGCAGGTTTTCTTAAAATTTAGGAAAACTTCAATTTATCCCTTAACTTTGGTAGACGAGTCTATTTTAATTTTGTCAAACTTTAATAAGCGTTGAAATTTACCCTTCAAACTTGAACCAAGTAATTAAATTTTTACTTTTGGAAAACAAAAATTTGCAAGTAATGCTTCTAACATATTGGAAACTCTTAATTAGTTTGATTATCATATTTTGTCACTAAATTTAAGCATTTTGATTTGCTCGATTTCTTGAAAAAGTTCTAAGACTCAAAAAAATGGATTGTTGTGAATCTCTCTAATTACATGTGTCGCGAGATTATGAGCCAAATTACTGAAACTCCGAGATGTAAGACAAACTATTTAAAAATCTCTTATTTGATTATGAACATGGATTTTATCGATTGTTTGTTGAACCTCATTTTCAAAATGATCCATTTTTGTGACCAAGGAGTTGATTTTTAGTTTAGATTGAGCGGATTCATGCTTCTTATACGAAGAGTATGTTTGGAAGTGATTTTGACACATAAAAATCATTTTTGTCATTGTCAAAATCACTTCAATTTCCATTTATCATCTTTGACAAATTAAAAAATTGATTTTATGAACCATCATGGGTGGCTCATTGGTCCAAAGGGGATAAAGTTAGTAAGAGGGAATAAGTTCAAACCCTATGATGACCACATATCTTAGGAATTAGTAATTCCTCAAAACTATGAAAGAAAAATCCAAGTCGAAATTTCAGACACAGCAACCTTCACGAACGAAATGCTCTCATGAACATGAGACATCCTTTTTCTTCTTCTTCAAATTGTAGGGTTTAATTTTTACAATTAAAAATTTAGGGGTCTAATTTTTTCATTTATGAACGTTTGAAGGTTTAATTTCTACGTTTGAAAATTTAAGGGTTCAATTGTAACAATAATCATACTTCAGGGTGGTTTTTGTAATTTACCCCATTATTTTTAAGAGTTTTCTAATTTAATAATTTCGTTTTTACCACATATTTTAGTTAATTCACACCAATATAAACTGGGCCAAGCCCAATAATATGGGCTCAAAAGAAGTTTGGGCCTGGACCCAGCCCACGAGTATCGGTCATGCCGAAGGAATGAGGGAGAGAGAGAGAGAGAGAGAGAGAGAATCACCGTGCGACGAGGCTCATCGTCCATCTCGTGTATCCTACTTCCGATCTTCCGATCTTCCATTTTTCTGGTTCTTCTTCTCACGACCGAAGTTTAATCTTCTCCAAATTCCTCGTCGCCGGATTCTCCCAATTTCTCTTTCGATTTTTCGCGCTCGCGGTTGTTGGATTCACCTAGGTGCACTGATTCTCGTTCCTATCATCTCCAATTCAGAGCTCTCTTCGTCATTTAATCAGCTTTCGAGGCTCATCCAATCGAGTCTCGAATTTTTCCCCCCAGTGGGTTTGAAGTTTCTGAATTTCGGTAAGTAAAAAGCTCCATCTTGTGGAATTTTGAATTATGGGCGTTTTCGTGCTTTTGTTTTGCCCCATTTCTGCTAGGGTTTTTGGTTCTATTCGTTATCGTTTTACTCCATGCATGTTGGGATTAGTGCGCTTGTTTCCCTTGAAGTTATCACGTTATCTGCACAGTTCGCTAGTAAATTGGAAGAAAAGGAATGGAGTTCTCAATCCGTGCTTGGCCTTTTATTATTGGAACGAAAATATAATGGTTTTTTCGTTCGATTTATTGCGGGATTTCAAATTTGAAGTAAATTATGTATTATGTTTAAGGAATTCTATCTGGGAGCGGTTGCGGCTCGGTTAGTGTAGACTGTAGAGATTAGGATTCGTGTTATTGGAAGGCTTGGGGGATGGCTGGAAGATGGTGATGCAGAACCATGAGTAGCAGTGAGATGGAGAAACCACCTAAAGACAAGGAGACGAAGACAACGCCTCCTACTACCCAGGTTTAATTTAGGCCTGATTTGGAGTTGAGTTTATTTATTTATTTAGTTTAAGTGAAAACGTTTTTTGATTTTTACTGTATTCTATAACTATAACTCGTCCTCTTTGTTTTTCATGTGAATGCTGTTTCCTTTGACAACCGACTTGTTTTTCTTTAGAAGATATGGGTTGATAAACAGTGATTCCAAGATCAAATTAGTATTATGTGTTAAGTGGAACTCAATTACTTTTTTTTTAGGACAGGTCTGAACAGCTTAAAAATTTCCATCACAGATAATACGAGCAAACATTTCCTTAATGTTTGTTTCATTTACGTTAAAGTCACTCCTCACGGCTTCTGTATGATAATTTCTTGTTGTCATTCGATAGGAGCAGACTTCAACCACAAGCGCTGGCACAGTTAATCCTGACTGGTCAGGTTTTCAGGTTAGATTGGCCCATTTCTTTAATCTTGTTTGTTGGGATGGCATTATGGTTAGATCATTATATAATTTGTTCATTTTCAGGCATATTCTCCTATTCCTCCGCATGGTTTCTTGGCATCAAGCCCCCAAGCCCCCCACCCATATATGTGGGGAGTGCAGGTACCTCTGCTATGTACTGGCTTTATAGGCATATTATGTCCTCTACACTTTGACCCATATTCATATATTCTGAAGTTTTTCAGCACTATTCTTCTTCTTAGTATTATTTTAATCGAGCTGCTGTGAATGTATTTGGGGATCTTAACATTAAGCCTGCATGTCTGAATTAAATTTTATTTGTTTAGTGATGTTTATGTATCATTGAGATTGTCATGTACATGCTACTTCGGATGACTTTCTGTGGTAAAAACAGTATTATTAGACATGACTTTTAAGGAATATGGCCTTGTGCTATCTAGTAATACCTAAATATGTGATATGTCTTTGCTCAATTGTGAGGTGTTTTGTTCCGTAAATGGTTCATGGCTAGCATTACTGTGCTCAAGTGAAGTTTTGATTTTAAACAAAAGTATTGTAAATTTAAACAATGGATTTCTTGGTGAATCCATCAATAGAGAGATGCAACATCCTTCACCAGTAAAGTGACTCATGCCTTTTATTTTCCTTTTTCTGGTTGATTTATTTACCTTTGTAGCTTTGTTTTAGAATAATGTTCTTAAGCTTTTGTGTTAAATTCCTTTTTTTAGTATGTTAGGTGTATCTCTGTGGTTTAGAAATTAGAAAGAGCTTCTTTACTTTGTGATTTTTAGTTCAGCACTCTGGAATTGACTGTGATTCATGGGGTTGGTCTTGTGTATTTATCTAAATGTGGGTTATGGGTTTTTAATTACAGCACATTATGCCACCTTATGGCACGCCTCCACATCCATATGTTGCAATGTATCCACCTGGCGGCATATATGCTCATCCTTCCATCCCCCCGGTATTTCTGGGCATTATAATTTTACATTCTTTATTATGTTTGAAACTTCCATTATATACTTATCTGACGGATATACTTTATACTATATGCCACATTCTTATGTGAATGTAGGGATCGTATCCTTTTAGCCCATTTGCTATGCCTTCTCCAAATGGCATCACTGAAGCCTCTGTGAGTTTCCTCCTATTTTATGATGAATTATTGTTTTTTTAAGCGAATAAATATGACATGTGAAGACATATATAGGGGAATACAGCTGGCAGCTTAGAGGGGGAGGTTAAGCCACCCGAAGTGAAGGAAAAGCTGCCAATTAAAAGATCAAAAGGAAGTTTGGGCAGTTTGAACATGATCACAGGGAATAATAACGAGCTTGGTAAAACATCTGGAACATCTGCCAATGGAGCATACTCCAAGAGGTTGGCTAATTTCTCTTGAAAATTTCCCATTGTAGATTAGTCATTTGTGTATGCTTTATTTTTATTTTTTGATAGTAAGGATAAAAGATTTCATAGAACATAACAAAACAAAAAAAATCTAAAGGCCATAAAGGCCATGGGGGCACAGGGACAAGGCATCCCCATGCCACGAGAGAGGGACCAAACAAAAGAAGAGTTTTTACAAAAAAAGATTTGTGTAAGATTGTTAATATCGTGTATGGTTCAAGGTACTTTCAGCTGTTACATATTTTTTAAAAAAATCAAAACATTCACAGAACTGTACCCGTTTGGGGGTGGGAGTAGTTGGAAATGTCGTCAAAGTAGAACTATCGATAAAGAAACCTTTATGTGACTGAGACATTGAATTTAAGTATTTCTTTATAGTTTCACATATTTTAAATCATTAGATTATGGTCTAATGCACTATGCCACCCAGGATTTTTCCTCCTTCCCTTTTGTGAGGAGGGACTCTGCTGAATGAACATTTTAACGTAGTAGTACGGACTACCTATCATTGGAAATTTTAGATTTTCCTCCCAATGAACTAGACCTATAAAGATGGTGTTTATAATTTTTTTTCATGAAGCTCACTTTCTTGAAAACTATAGTCCCACAAAATTTATTGATGGCCAAACAGAACCTTGGGTGATGTGATGACCTGGTTTTTGTAGTGGTGAGAGTGCCAGCGAAGGTACAAGTGAAGGAAGCGATGCCAATTCTCAAAATGTAAGTAGTACTGGTCATTGCTTGTCTATTGGCATTTGCATCTCACATGGATTTATTTTGTCCATTTTTGGATGTGACCTGGATAGATTTTGTTTCTGTTGGTGAGTCAAACTAATTCTCCATGCCATAAGCCTACCATGTTCCTTAGGCATTCACTTTGTCAGAAGAATAGAGTTGTGGGTACTATCTCCCCTAATAAAAAAAAAGGAAAAAAAAAGAAGAAAAAGGAAAGAAGAGTAGGTACTAATTTTATTCTCTTACCTTATACTGCTTAAAGTCAAAAGGATGTTTTCAACTGTGATGAAACTTGGGAACGAAAGTTAAGAGTTCCCATAAGTTTAGTTGAAATGTAGAACTAGATTTGATTAAGGGTAGAATGTAATGACATGAGAAGGGGAAATTTATTGACTCCCCCTCCTTTCAAGTGCTGCTCCTGTCTTTCTTTCTAGATAAAGTGATCTAGTAGTATTTTACTCTTGTAGGACTCACAACCTGAGTTAGGTTCCAGGCAACGCACTTTGGAAGGTTGGTTCTTTTTTCTTTCGTCTCGACAGTATTCTCATGTCAGGCATGGTGAATAATGTTTTCTTGTTGCAGCTGAAGCATCTCAGAATGGTAACTCTATGCATGTTACTCAAAATGGGGGGCCTAATACTCAAGCAATGGCTGTCATTCCATTGGCAGTTGCTGGGGCTCCAGGAGTCGTGCCTGGTCCCACGACCAACTTAAACATTGGAATGGACTATTGGGGTTCATCCACTATCCCTGCATTGCGTGGAAAGGTTCCATCAACTCCAGGTGCTGGAGGATTGGTTACTGCTGGATCTCGGGATAGCGTACAGTCACAGATTTGGTTGCAGGTAAGCTCTAATAGGACTCCAAAAGTTAGTATTTTGAGGTGGTAAAACGAAGAAAAATGATATCTATATGTTTGATTTAGGACGAGAGAGAGCTTAAAAGACAGAGAAGAAAGCAATCAAACAGAGAATCTGCACGACGATCCCGATTACGCAAGCAGGTACTGAAACACCTGCTGTAAACTATTAATCTCGCTGGAGGACGTGGTATCACATGCTTCCCTCATAACATACCGGTTCCAAATTCATGCTTTTTCAGGCAGAATGTGATGAACTAGCACACCGAGCTGAAGCCTTACAAGAAGAAAATGCCAATCTCAGGTCTGAAGTGAACCGGATAAGGAGTGAATATGAACAACTACTTTCCGAGAATGCTTCTTTGAAGGTAATACTAAAATATTTCTTTCCCTACTATTTTCTTCTGTCCCCAGTGTACATAAAGTTGAGCAAGCTGTTTACTGTGAATAATCCTTGGCCTTCTTTTTGGTAATCAACATGACAGTTATGACAATGAGACTGACATTGCAATGATTTATAATCTATTTCTTCACCGTGAGCGATGAGCGTCAGGAATCCAACTTCTCCTCCACTGCAGTGCAGCAGATATGTTGCATAAACTTGTCCCCATCTAATATATTAGGTTTGATCTATGCAGGAAAGACTTGGGGAGGTTCCGGGAACTGAAGACGTAAGGGCCAGCAGGAATGGCCAGCATTCAAGTAACGAAACCACACAACTTACAGAGTCAGAGGCTGTACAAGGTGGTAACAAGAATTGAATGTTCTCTCCCTGCTTTGCTGCCGCAATTTTTAGGCGCATAACCTAACTAATTTCTCAAACAACCCAAAAAGTTTTAGTTCTGATAGCTTTGCAGTTTGAGTTTTCATGTAAGCTACTGACCTGTGATAGTTTTAGGACTGTTTATTCCTGTGATCCATTATCTTATCTCTATGGGTGGGGGGGTGTATTCTTAACTTGCCAAAGCCCCCAAAAACATTAGATATTTGGTGTGTGAAATTATTCTTGTAGCATTCACACTTCACTTCAGCTTCTGTATTAAAACCTTCCACATTAATTGTTGACTTGGAGAAATATTAATATACTTGGGCAAGCCTTTTTACTTGTTTGTTCTACCTTTCTGTTTTGTATTAGTATTTTAGCACTAAATAAGGTTATCTGTCTTGTAAGATTGATTAAGGTGCAAGTGACCTAGCTTAGACAAAGTAACTATTTCTCAAGACTGATTGAAGTACAGGTGAGCTGGTTCAAATAAAATAATCGTCTTTATGAGATTGATCGAGGGCAAGTGAGCTAGTCTAGGTAAAACAGTGGTTCATTTTAGCTAGTTTAGACAAAATAGTTTCTTTGTGATTGATTACGGTGACGACCTTACCTGAACGGGATCTGCAGATCTGTTCCATAGGTTGTATTATTGTGTTCTAAAAGATTGATTAAGGAGAAGAAAGTAGTAAGCAACAAAAGAAAAAGAGGTTGCTCAACCCTTTTGGATATGATCATAGCACAGATTGATTGATGATAATGACTTGTGAAACTGGGAGCACTCATAAGTTGAGAACTTTGCCCAAATGGTACAGAATTTTCTTCTAAAACAGAGCTGAAAATAACAAGGAATAATCATTAAATAAAATCTTCTCCCCCCCCAAAAAAATTCTCTTTTTATCTGATAAAAATACCTTCTTCCTCTTGTTCTATAAGCTACTGCACAATTTTAGAAAAGGGGTGTTAGCAAACACAGCATTCTATACAAACCACCATTGAAAAATCCTTTCCTCTCTCTCTCTCTGTTACTCATTAGAGGACCCTCTTTCACAACAGCATCTCCATTGGAAACAGCTGCTGCATCTCCATTTAAAACAACTACTCATACAGCTGCAGCATTTCCAACCAGAGCAACTGCTGAGGGTGGGGCAGCTGAAGCAGCATCTCGGCCTCAGCCTCGGGCATTTCGGCCATTTCGGGCATCTGGGTTTACAGCATTTGAGGCATTTCAGCTGGATTGAGCAACTTGCACAGCTCGGTCTCGGGCATTTTGGTTGCCAGCATTTCACTTTGCAGCAGCATCTGTCACAAGAAACTGCACAGCAACAGGGTCTTGTTTGTTGGTCGAGAGCTTGTCGAATCCTTTTGAGGCGGATTTTCGTGGTCATGTTCTCCATTTCTTGGATGAACTTGCAGAGATGGCGAATGTAGTCGGGATAAAGCTCTAGGTTGCAGTGTCCTCCCCCTTTTATCCATAGAGGATCATATGGTTCTCTTGACTTTTTCCATAATCCATTTCCATGAAGCCAGTTGACAACATCGTCTTCTGTGCCCTGCGACGTCAGAGCCAGAAATTTTCATGAAAAGAAATACTTTTTATACATATATTCTTTCAATCTCGAAAATTTAGAGTGCAGCAATAAAAAGTTTTTCTTTTTCTTTTTTTTTTTTATAAAATTTTAATCTAAAACAAGCTAATTGAGGTGCCAATATGAGTTTAACTCAACGCTCAACAGTAATTGGCATAATGGAGGTACAATTGTCTCTCTCCTTCCTTACTCGCTCCACCTCTAGAACTCACCTCATTTGTGACATCTTCAAATGGAATCTAACTCAGGTTGGTTTGCAGATTGTTTTGTACAATTAGTATGCATTTGAAACCTCTAAAACGTATTTATCCAAACATATTTTACGTAAGTTTCATCTAACGAACTATGCTAGTTCGAAGTCATTAGATCGGAAACTAGTTCAAGTTGAAGGAGAGCGAAAAATTTTGTTAATTGCTCAATATGTGATTTTTATTCTTTGGGAATTTATTGATAAAATATATCCCCAAAGGAATAAAAGAAAAAGAGAAGGGTTGGGAAGTACTCACATGTATCACAAGCACAGGGCACTTCACCTTCTTGATTTTGTTAATGTTCTGCCATTGTGAGAATACTCATCAGCTTCAAATGTACAGACGAAAGTATCGAAGATAGGGACATTACCTTATAAATGTCGAAGCAAAAATTGAACTTCACGTGGCATAAAACGCGTAGACCCGAAAGAATTGCACTATGCAGGACGACGCCCCTCAACCTTGGCAACTTAGCAGCCAAATGCAACGTTGGTCCGCTCCCAACAGACTGCCCATACAAGATCAAGTCTTCTTGGCTGGCTCCATACTTGGTTTCAAGGCACTCGTAAACTGCTTCGATATCAGCGTACGTATTCGATTCGCTAGGCTGGATTTCACATACGACGTTAATTTTATTCGTGGATAACTTACTATGATCTCAAGTTTATGTAGACAGCATAAAGCATTGATAAAAAAAACCAAGCGAGAGATAAGCTAATTCTGCCACCTTCTAATGATAGTTCGATGAAGCCTCGTTACTGAAGGCTCGAACCGAATCCTAATGAAAAAATTTCATAGACAACATGCCTACATTAAACTACTGCCCTCTATTTTGGGTTAATCTTGTTATCTTGATGATGGACTCGTATTTTCTTGATGGAACACAGGAAAACTTCAACTCGTAAAGCAAAACCGAAACTCAGGATATCATATCAATTATCGACTGGAACAGCAACATACCTTACCGGTTGAAGCTCCGTAGCCAGAATAGTCATACCTGCATCAAAAGAATATGATAAGTTAGATAAAGGTAACATATAACCAACAGACCATCGAAGACGATCAAAATCCACCAAAATGGAACCAAGAAAAGCTCAACAAAATGCACACGACATGAGAGCGGATTCAAATTTATGGATTTGTCATCACAACCATGAACATTTACAGCAACTTGAGCATACTTCAACCAATTATCGTTGTAGAACAACCACCATAATATACAACATTCGACTTTGAAACCAAACCATGGAATTCAACCCTTACCATCTTCAAAGACATTTGGGTTTACAACTTGTCCTTTCAATCGCACGACCAAACCCACAACGGTTTCAAGTAAACAAACAAATATGAAAACTATATAAACGTCGATATGAATACATAGCATTGAGTTATCGAAATTCATTCCACGAAAAGAAAGATAAGGAAAAAAAACATCACATTAAATGGAAAAGGAAAGCAAACTTGCAGAGAAAAGAACAATGGAAAAGGAAGTAAAAGCAGTAAACATATTTTGCAACAAAAGAAAGGGTGAAAAATGGCTGCTTTTTTCAGGGTAAAAAGGAAAAACCAAAGCCTAGAAGAAAATGACCTGAAAAAGAAACCAACTTTGGAACTATTAAACTAACCTTCTCCTCTTCACCTTTCACACTCCATCATCTTTGTGGTAAATAATTGATGTAAATCTCCCAATCCAAATGCAAGAAACAACAGTAAAAATTTTCAACATTGATTTTGATTTATTTGGAAGAAACATACAAATGTGGAAGAAGAGGATAACAACTTTGTTTTTAGTTTTCTTTTT